ACACACACACACACACACACACACACACACACACACACACACACACACACACACACACACACACACACACACAATCAGAAGCTCATGCACGAAGTGCAAAAAACATATTGGTGACACACAAATGGCCTTTTCCCACCAGCAACATTAAATCTGACATTTACCGTGATGATACAGGAAAAAGTCGTTAACACTAAACGCCTGCATTTTAAAAGAAGATATTGAGAGGAAAAAAAAAAACAGCTTTCGTTCCACAACTTCGTCATGATCCCATTAATTTTGAAATGGACACCAATTAGCAGTGAGAAAATGTTTGAGAGTAATGGATGGATTTTCTGATTGCAATCTTATGAGCCCAAGGAGCACCATAAAACACAGTAAACTGCTCAAACTTTTTAATTACGGAATTTAAAGCAGCTTCTAACAGCCAATTAAAGAAGAGAGTTACTCATTGAGCATTTCTTTTTTTTTCTGTTTTTAACGTATTCCAGTAGGATAGGAATATTTTATTGGGTCAAAATAGCCCACTGTATCACACCCTAAATTACTTTCTTTTAAAGTTTAGAAAAAATAATAACACTTGATTGTGCCTTTGTGACATGCTATAATTGTGTTTACCACTGCCTTGCATGTTGGTAGGTTTTTATTTTAGCTTTTATTTATTTTTTTCAGAAAGCATCTACAGATAAAGCAAATAAAATTGTGGTTTCGTTTCTCTCTTCTTTTTTTTTTGCACACAAAATCCCTGCATCTCATATTCATACTACTAATTAAGCCTCACACTGGTAAGGAACAGTGGTGCACTTAAATATGAAAATGTTGTTATTTGTGGTATTTTCTCGTCTAAAAGACAAAAATGCTGAATTCATTGCCACTATTTCCTTTTTCAACAGAAATAACTAAAATTAAAGGGTAGTTTTAGGGCTTCYCTCACCAATAAACTTAAACTGAAAGATTTTTTTTTTTTTACTCTTTGGCAGGAAAATATCTTCCACATATTTTGTAAACGCATATAAAAAAATATGTTGGCAACTTTCACAGGAATAACGTGTTGCTAACCTGGCCTGGTGTACTCTGCTGCCTCCTTGTGCACCATCTCCTTGACTCTGCCTCCAAACAGCATCCGAGAGGGGTCATGGTCGAAGGCCTGCAGGGTCTCGCTGGAGCTGTAGGATTTCTGAGTGGGAACTCGACAGGCTCCCTCGTCCCGGTCAGTGGAGGAGGCGGTGTAGCGCCGCTCGCGRTCCTGGTCTCTCTCGCAGTCTCGTTCCCGCTCTCTCTGGCTCTTGGACAGCGAGCAGAAAGGCCGCTGCTCCCTCACCCTTTCCATGCTGCCTGCATGCTGGGTATCMCACTCCCTCCCCTTCCTTCACCACCGGCACTCTTCTGAAGGCGTTCACCACTGGATTAGTTCAMGCTTTTCCAGGCCCCTTCCACCGCTTTCTCGTCCGGTGAACGGTTTCCTCTCCAAGTTCCTCCTCCCCCCCGCACTTCTGAACCTCGCACGGTCACTTCTTCAGTCCTTTCAGCCGTCCACCTGGAAAGAAAAAAAAAGAGAGAGATGAGGAAAGGAAGCAAGAAGCTCAGATAACACTAATCCATCAGCTCCATCTTCAAAAGCACACACTTATCTCCCTCTCATTGCCCCAGAACACATCTGGAACTTCACCCATGAAGTCTTACAGAGAAGGCTTGACTTCCCAGTGGTTCCTGTTTCAGTCTTTATGTTACCTTTAAAAAGACAGCTTTCAGAAACCAACATTTCTTATCAGTTATCAATGTTCAAGCAATGATAGCTTAGGGCTAACCTTCTTATAATAAACTGCAYGAGAAAGATTTGCAACATAATCATTTTAAGGAAAGTTGAGTGCAGTCATTTTAAATACACAAAGGAGTTAYGTCAACAAGGGTGACGACAAACACTCATTAAAAATTAATAGAACCCTATATTTATTTTTAGTTTACCAGGCTGTGACAGTTAAGTGAAAAAAATAGTTTTTTTTCTAAATTATTAAATCGTTTTACTTATAGAGCTAAATATATGTGCACGCTGTTGTTGTTTTCAGTTATCTGTCTGAGATTTCTGCCTTTGCACAGCTATAATGGAGGTAGGATAGAAGTTTTAGCGAGTCAAGGCACTGAGAAGTCATAACAGGAATGTGTTTCCTGGAAAAAAACTGACTTTGTTACACACAATAATCCACAGGAGTGGAGAGCGGCAGTTTCCACAAGAGCTGTTTATGCGGTTGTGATGGAAATTATTCCCTGTCAACTCAAACTGAAAAGTGAGCAGAAACTTTAACTGTACTTTTTTTTTCCAAAATTCAACGTAAAGACAGTGATGAGAACCTAACTTGCCTATTGCCATAGTGTGTGTGTGTAT